GGTTCAGGGTTTAGGGTGCAGGGTTTCGAAGGAAACTAGTTAGGGTTTGGGTTCAGAGTTTAACATCGGGGCCGCAAACATGAGAACAGGGCTTTGGGGCTGTACTGCTTAGTGTTGTAGTGTATTAGCTGCATAGGAGCCATTTACTGGTTCTAGAGGCTCTGGGCTCACACTGTAGTTATAATGAAGAATCCCCAAAATAGAATAGGTAATTTTTAAGGCCCCTATATTACAGCTGAAGACCTGGACACCGAGATCAGGGACCTCTAGAAGAGAGACTCTGAGGCCCCCGTAAACGAATGCAGTTACGACACAGCTTTAGGGTTTAGGGTTTAGGGTTTAGGGTTTAAGGGTTTAGATGCCCTGAAACCTTCTCTCCAAACTAAACCTTCTACCAGACGCCCTGGAACGTAGACCCCCTGGACCCTATACCCCAAACCAAATCCGCTTCTCTGAAGTCGAAGACCGAAAGCTAAACGCCCAGACTTTAACCCAGCGACATCTGAAACAACAGCCCCAGCCCTGAAACCGACAACCCCGAACCCTCAAGCCGCTAGTAACCCCATTCGTAATACCTCGTAGATGAACCCCAAACCCGAAACGACCTTCCCAAGACCCGAACGGTGCCCTGCTCCCGAGGCTACAGCTACTGCTTGCGTCGGGACGGCGTCCACCTGCAGGACAGGGCTTCGGGCATTCGAGGCTTTTCAGTTTTACGATTTTGGGCTTTCGAGGTTCTTAGGCCCGCAGGGTTTAGGACCTTTATAATTCTTTGGTTGGTTCTTTTGAGGCTGTTAAGACTCTAAGGCTCTTGGGTTCGGAGAGTGTAAGAGACTACTTCAGTGTACTTCAGCTAGACTCGGAGTGACAGGGATGGGTGGGCAGGAAGCCCGAGCTCCTGCTACTGTGGGTCGAAGACCTTACTAACCCTGAACCCAAAGCCCTGAACCCTAAGCTTTTGCATAACTATTGTTGGCGTCACATCTCCTCAACCCTAACGGCAGAAAGCCGGCGCCTAAGGTTAAAAGCTTGCATAAGGCTTCGGCCTCCCCCTTACGACCCTGAGGGCGATTCCTCCCCGCTCGCGAGCATGAAGGTCAGCATGCGGAAAAGGAGTGCCTTGCGCATCTTACTGTTGAGGGTCTAGGCTGCAGTGTCATCATTCGTCTTCTCTGGTCCTCTGACTTTTTGAGATGACAAGTTACTATGACCTTGAGATGCACGCAGCTTTATTTTGCTAACACGACAGTTGTGTTCTTGGTGGAGTGATCGGTTGAAACAGTCATGGCCATGCATATCAACATAAGATGCCCGCATGCAGCAGCTCTAGCATCTTTCATGAAACGCTCTGAATCCGCTTTTTTGACCGGTAACGTGCCTTCGGGTCTTATTATGCACCTGTGACCCTACACCGCTGGCCTGACATCCTGAATCTTCTGCTGCACTATGCCAAGAAAAAAGCCCCGGATGACCACCCGCGAAAGAATGGTTAAGAACATCGAACAGGACTATGAGGTACAAGAAGCAGGCCGTTCGATGTGATTACCAAGAGCCTTACATGATGTCCGAAGGCAAGAATACCCATCGTGTGTGCGAAGCTACATACACACAACGGTGATGGTAGATGCCGAGACCCATGATGATACACTGATACACAAGACTGCACCAAACAAAGCAATTTGATCATGCTTATGTCTGACTCAGGAACCCNNCCCCCCCCCCCCCCCCCCCAAGCCGTCCATCACATCATAGCCCAAAACAAAACAATGCGCCTCGTACTCTTCCCTTCCGAGACCTGGGTAAAACGCAAGCTCCGTCGGGGCACCCACTGCCTCTCTCGATGCTGCTCCAGTTCCCTTCGATCGTGACCCTGTGCTGACAGTGGTGGTAACTGCGATGTTGAAGGCAGCGCTGCTGGTGATGATTCTAATGTCGGTGCTAAAGCTGATGATGGCCATGATGATGATGATG